TCTCAATGTCATAAAAATAGTCTCCCATATGTTCTTCTAAAAGTTTTAAGGTTTTATCACACACTAAAAATGTAATCCACCTGGCATCGACTGTTTTTGTGTATGCTGTGACTTAAGGATTACATTTCTTTTTACTTCCCATTAGGATAGCACAATTTGCTGAATAATCTCTCCTTCCAGTCCTCTGCAATGCTACCACTCATATCATATACTGCCTCTATTCTTTTCCATTGCTTTGTTTGCTTATCCACAAGGTTTCTTTCACTAAATTTTATAATTTTCTCTGTAAAGAAAATTTAAAATGTTCACTTGTACAACATGATTGTTAAAGTTAGGTTTTATGTTTATGGTTAATTTGGAGATTTTATAGTTTTGATTTTATATCCATCTTTCTTGCTAACCTCTATTTTAAATCATATTTATGAAGATTGACAATTTAATTTTCTAATCCTTTAATACTTTATCTCTATGTTCCTTATATTTGTACATGTATTTTCTATACATTTTTCATTTCATCTTAATCTGCTTTACAAGTCTTCTGCTGTGATGATGAACATTTTGCTCTTTTTTTCAAAAATCATTTTTGTTTTGGTTTATTTTTATATTATTTTGTTAGTTGTATAAATGTTCATATATTTTATATCTTATTGTAGTGTTAATTTTTTTGGAGAGTACACAATACCTTGTTTATATCAGTATCCAATTTATTTTTATTTTTTTATCCTCACCCGAGGATATTTTTCCATTTTTTGTACAGATAGAGTGGGAGGGAGAGAGAGGAAGGGAGAGAGAGAGAGAAACATCGATGTGAAGAGACACATCGAGTGGCTGCCACCCTCATGACCAACCAGGGCCGGGGACAAACTGCAACCGAAGTATGTGCCCTTAGCGGGAACCGAACCCGGGTCTCTCCGGACCACAGGCCGACGCTCTAACCGCTGAACCAAACTGGCCAGGGCTATCAGTATCCAATTTAAATCCATATTCTGTTTGACGCTTTTCATCTTAACTGATTTATTTTTCCTTCCGGTTATTTTTAGATTTTGTCTTTATTAGTTTAGTTGCATCTGCTGGGTTTTATTTTATTATTTTTGAACCCATCTGCCAGTCTGTTGGTATTATTAGAATACGTTTTTTATTTGTTTTTCTCTATTTGTAATAATGCAGATTAAATTTTTTGTTGTAAATTAAATATTTTAGTGGAGTATATCTTTGAGTAATTCTTTCAAAATGGCTTGTAATTTGGAAACTTTGTTTTGTATTTCTGAAAATATTTCCCCCCAATTCTTGAATACTAGAATTCTATTTCAAGTCACTTGGCAACAAAAAATTTACAACATTGTTTTTTGGAACCTAGTCTTGCAGCTGAAAAATCTGAAGTTGGTCAGATTTACTTTTTTTTTGGTAGATTGCCCCATGGAAACTTTTGGGATCTTTCTGACATCTTTAGTTCAGAAATTTTAGCAGAATGTTTCTATTGTGAATCCACTTTTGTTATTTCCACTTTATACTTTCAAGGTACTTCTCAACTAAATAACTGCTTCTTAAGCTCTATGTAAATTTCAGCTCTGTGTGTTTGGGGAGTTGGCCTGCAGGATTTTAGAGATACTTGTCCTGTTGCCAGAGGGTTACCTGAGTTGGTATTTGATTTCTGTTTCGGAAACTGCCTCTGGAAATCACCCATTATCAGCCATGGGTAAAAATAGGATCTCCAGGCTTCCAAGATTGAGTCACCTTAATTTAATTTCCTAGCTGCCACTGTAAATTTACTTCTCTCAGTAGCTGGTGTTTATCATTTGATGACTATTCTGTGATTGTGCTGAAAACAACAACAACAACAAAACATTCTTTGGCAAGTGTTTCCTTTGTGTTTGTATGGATATGTAAGCAGTCTAGCTCTGTTAATTTTTAACATATGACCTCTCTTACACTGAAATCTAAAATGAAACAAACTCCAAATAACAAAACAATAACAACAAAACCTAACTCACAGATAGAGAACAGATTGGTAGTTGCAAGAGCAGGGGGTGAGAAATGGACGAAGGTCAAAAGGTACAACCTTCCAGTTATAATATAAATAAGTCACGGAATATAATGTGTAGCACAGTAATACAGTTAACAACAGTGTACTTTATATTTGAAAACTGCTAACAGAGTAGATCTCATAAGTTCTCACCATGGAAAAATAGATTTATAACTATGTGTGGTGATGGATATTAACTAGACTTACTGTGCTGATCATGTCACAATACATACAAATGTTGAATCATTATGTTGTACATCTAAAACTAATAAAATGATGTACGTTGATTACATTAATTTTTAAAAAATTAAAGAAATTGGAACTTTCTACATTGCTGGTGGGAAGGTAAAACTGTGTAGCCATTGTGGAAAACAGTTTGGCAATTCCTCAAAAGTTAAATATAGAATTACTGTATAATCCAGCATACCTACTGCTAGGTATGTACCCCAAAGAACTAAAAATAGATATGCAAACACTCAGACACAAAATTCATAGCAGCACTATTCACAATAGTGAACTGTGAATTCAAAAGGTGGAAACAACTTAAATGCCCAACAATAAAAGAAAGCATAAACTGTGGTAGCCCTGGCAGGTTTGACTCAGTGGTTAGAGCGTTGGCTCATGGACCAGAGAGACCTGGGTTCGGCTTCCGCTAAGGGCACGTACCTTAGTTACAGTTTGTCCCCAGCCCGGTTGGGGTCGTGTGGGTGGCAACCAGTCGATGTGTCTCTCTCACATTGATGTCTCTCTCTCTCTCTCTCTCTCTCTCTCTCTCTCTCTCTCTCTCTCTGTCTCTCTCCCTCCCTCCCTCCCTCCCTCCCACTCTCCCTCCCGCTCTATCTGAAGATACATGCAAAAATGCCTTTGAGTAAGAAAAAAGAAATAAATAAACAAACTGTGGTAAATGCATACAACAGAATACTATTTAGCCATAAAATAAAATATTGATACAAGCTACAGTGAGAATGAACCTCAAAAACATTAGCAACAGGACACAAGGTCACCAATTACATGATTTTCTTTATAGGAAATATTCATAACAGGTAAATCCATTAAGACAAAAAGAATGTTGGTGGTTGCCAGAGGCAGGGGGAAATATTTGAGTAGTGACTACTTAATGAAAATGATCTGGAACTAGATAGGTATGGTGGTTGTACAATATAGTGAATGTACTAAATGCTACTTGAATTGTATACTTTAAAATAGCCAATTTATGTTATATGGTTTTCATGTCATTTTTTAGGGTTTGTTTTTTGAAGCAGTAGGAAAAAATGTCTTCAATAAATGGGGCTGAGTCAGACGGAAATAAAAATGAATCTGGACATCTTATCTCATACCATATACAAAAATCAATTCCAAGTAGACTATAGAGTTAAATGTGAAAATTAAAACAATAAAGCTTCTAGAACAACATTGTCCAACAGAGCTCTCTGAGATGGTGGAAATGTTCTGTGCTGTCCAATACTAGTCATAGTGACTACTGAGCACTTGAAATATGTGTATAGATTTATAATTATATTTCGTTTAAATCTAACATTTAAATAGCTATATGTGGCTAGTAACTAGTATATGGGTGGGGCAAAAGCAGGTTTACAGTTGTTCTTATGTAATATAATAATTAATAAATAATAAAAGAATAAACTCTGTGTTACACATTCTCACAACTGTAAACCTACTTTTGCCCCACCCTGTATATGCTATTTTTTCCTGTACATAACACCTATGATAAAATTTAATTTATATGTTAGGCACAGTAAGATATTAACAATAACTAATAAAAACAGAATAATTATAATAATATAAAAGTTAGATGAGGATATGTAATAAAACGTATGTGAATATGGTCACATTTTCAATCTTACTGTTCTCTACGTACATCGTGGAGATGCTGGACAAAGGGATGGCGCACATCCCAGGCAGGACAGAGAACAGTGTGATATTTCATCCTGCTACTCAGAATGGTGCAAGATTTAAAACGTATGAATTGTTTATTTCTGGAATTTTCCATGTAATATTTTCAGAATGCAATTGACTGCAGGTAAGTGAAACGGCAGGAAGCACAGCCGTGGACGAGGGGCTCCCGTATGCACAGCGCGGAGACAGACAAAATCATTCTCTCTTTCCCAATGCTCCCTGGGTCTCTCTCAGCAAATCTCTAATATATGCAAGGAAAGAACAACTACTGTCATGACAACCATACTGTGAACTAGCTTGTTGGTCTTCACATTTTAAAAAAGAGATGTCATTACAAAAATAAAATCCTTGTAAATGTGAAACAGACAGAATCAGGTGATATTTTGTATTTATCAAGAAATGTATTTCAGATTACATGACTTGGCTCAACTAAAGAGATGTTTCAATGTTGTTTTACTTAAAATGGAGACACAGTGTGTTAAAAAGATAGGAAAACCTAAACTAAGGCATCCAAATGGAAATGTTACGTCATTTCACTTGTTTGCTGTGTAAAATTTCAGAAGATAACATTATAAAGAACACGAGTCTAAAAAATATAAATTACTTAAAAAGAAAAAGAAAAAAAAAAAATATATATATATACAAATTACCCGATCATTCATGAGAAGATCTTTCACAATGAAAGTAGCTACCAAAGACTTCAAAGGAGCAGCAAACTGATCAGGTGCAAGGAGAGCAATGTGACCAATAGTAACCAATGGGGTTATAAGATGTTCCAGATTGCTTGGATCTAGGCTCTTATGTAGAGGCTGAAAATGAGGAAAGGAAAATATATCCAACTCTATAAATATGCAAATGAAACTGTTCACACATTTCACCTTCAAATTAAAAAACTACAAAAGTTTCAATACATATATATGGCATAAGTAGGAGCTCAAGCTTACATTTAAACTTCCACAGGTTATTTATGTCTAGAAAACATCACATTTAAATATTTTTGGTTTTGCCAAAGTCCTATTTGGAGGTAGGCGAAGAAACTTTTCAGCACAAAGAATCGTGACGTGTGCTCACTTCGGCAGCACACACTAAACCAGAATGATACAGAGAAGACGAGTGTGGTCCTGCACAAGGATGACACGCAACTTCGTGAAGCATTCCATTTTTTTTTTTTAAATCATATATTTTATGACTACATATATGAATATGATAGAGACAGCTAGGGTTCACCAATATCTACTTTTTTTCTACTTCCTGGCATAGTGTGACTTAGGTGAAGAAGCTTCCTTGGCAGTTAGATGAGGATAAGGGAATGAGCTCTGGTTAACAGAGTGGGAGTAGAAGTGAGTCTTGCCTGCACTGAGGCAAGTATTCATGTGTCTTCTCCACATTCTGGGTCCTTACTCACTGGCTGGCTTCACACCAAGGATTCAGTGGGACTTAAAGGAAAGCTATTAGTCAAAAAGAACACTAAGAAATCTAAGCTTTAAAAGCAATACAGAACTGTTCTTTCACAACATATTAGGGCAATATAAGGCTTTATTTAATCAAAAGAATATTTAAATGAATTTACTTCTTGCTATTCTTGATGACTCCTCTCAATACTTTCATTACACATATAAGTTCCACTTCTCTGACAAAAATCTGACAGTGTAAATTTTACACAATAAAAAAAAAATCATTTCTGAAAAAGCAAAATTAATAGACAGAGCCTAGATTAATAGTAACCTCATAAGGGTCAGATAGCTCTATGAAACCTTTGCTCAGAAAGCCAGACAACCTTGTATGTGATAGTTGGAGGATTATATTACTTAATAAAATTTCCTAGTACTAAATGCATCAGCATAAATACAATGCATAAGTTATAAATATGTAATGTATAAATATAAATAAATGTCAAAATACAAACATCTGAATAATCAGATTATTTCCATACTGTAACCATTCATTAATATCAATTATACTGATTCAATTCTAAAAACACAGCAGATTCTCTAATAATGTTATTTTCTTGAGATGCCATAGGAACTTAACTCTTGTTTATGTCAATCAGCCTAGGGTAAAATTGTTTTTGTTATACATCATTTCTTTTAAACTCACAGAACCTATCAATAAGTGGAGGACTTAATATAAAACGATATATCTCTGAATGTGAACATTCTGTGTTCTGTAAAATCATTAGTATTTGTTTTTTTAATTGTAACATATGAAATAAAAAATAGTTTTCTTTTTACCTCAAATATCTGTGCAAACTGGGTTTCTTTACTAGAAAATATTGCATGGATACAATGAATGGCATATTTGGCTTGACGGGGGGGTCCTTTTTTAGATTTGTGATGTAAAACAGGAAGCAAAGCTCTAAAAAAGAAAAACAATACATCAGAAAAATCAACGGCTTCGACTAAGTTTTAATGTTTGTATTTTTAAAGTAACGTTTTAATGTTTTATAAAAACAAAAAAGTTACAACATATATTCAGACTCATTTTCAATCATCTATAATTTTTTTTGTAAATATCTATATTAAAAATATAACTCAAATACAAGTGTTTTTCATTCTTACTTAACAATTACAAAAACAACAAGAATAGTGATCCATTTATTCTTTCTAATGTGAGTCCCATCAGCCTTTTTTCCTTTTATCCTCACTGTTATCACTCCAGCTAACCTGCCACCTTACACGTAAGACCACTGCAAAGGGACCACATGGTTGGGATCTAATTGTTTCTTCATTCTGAAGTCTCCCTTTCTCTCTGATTCATATTTCACTTGGTCCCAGAACAACCTACATAATGGGAAATCTGATTATTTAACCAGTACAAATTCAGTGTTTACTATATGCCAAGCAGTATTTTTTTTTTTATCCTCATCCGAGGACATTTTTTCCCATTTTTTTGTTCAGATAGAGTGGGAGGGAGGGAGGGAGGGAGGGAGGGAGGGAGGGAGAAACATCGACGTGAACAGGACATGGCTGCCACCTACACGACCAACCAGGGCCGGGGACAAACTGCAACCGAGGTACATGCCCTTAGCGGACACCGAACCCGGGTCTCTCTGGACCGCAGGCCGACGCTCTAACTGCTGGGCCAAACTGGCCAGGGCTGCCAAGCAGTATTAAAAGTCCCAAATCCTTGCCTTCATGGTACCAGCATATTAGGGACAAGACAAATGATATTGTATATATTAGCAAAATATATGTTCTGTCTAATTATGACAACTGCTGAAGAGGAAAATAAAGAAAAAGAGGACAGTGATATGAGTGGGGAGGGGCTTGTGAGTGTTACAGTTTTAAAGAGGGTGGTCACAGAAGCCCTCTCCACCTCTCTGACAAAGTTAACTGAGCAGAGTTCTGAGGGAGTTAGGGAGGGAGTCAGGTAGCTACCTGGAAGAACATTCGTGTATCATATCATCATAGTACATAAACAATTAATATAAATTCTGAATAAAACAGAACCTCTTAGCTCAACTATTTTACAAATAATCACAGTGAAATAAACATTTGGATCCTCCCTCCCTCCTTGCCTAATACCAACCCAGTAATCCAGTACTAAAATGTTAGAGATAACATAATGCATCACAATAATAATATAATCTCAAAAAAAATACCAACAGCAAAATATGTTAAAAAGATACATGACAAGTTGAGGTGAAATTGTGCATTTTGTATTAGAGAGAAGAACTTAATATCCCTAACATGTAAAATCCTTTTACAAATAGAGAATGAAAAGACCAACAATATCATGGAAAAATGGGACACAAAGAGTAGAAAGCTCTAAAAAAAAAGATATCCATGGGGGCGGGAAGAGATAAACCAAAGAACTTATGTGTATAACTGACACAGACAACAGTGCAGCGAAGGGGCGGGAGCAGGGAGGAGGGTGTCAGTGGGGGGAAAAGGAGAGACATCTGTACCTTTTTCAACAATAAAGATACATTTTTTAAAAAGATATAAAAACTACCCAGTGATGTGTGAAGAAAATGCTTACCTTCACTTATTAAAAAAAAAAAAAGAAGAAGAAAAAGAAACAAATTAAACCACACTGAGAGGACTTCTGCTTTAGATTATGACAGTGTATGTGAGACTGGATTCACGTTAAACAAGTAGAAAACAAGATAAAGTATGTTAAAGGTTTCAGATACTGGACAATAGGCAGCCCTATTTTGTAATCCCCAAAAGATGGGAAACTAGAAGAACCCTAAACCCGCCCCCATGTACTGCATGGAGGTAGTTTCCAGACTGTTGTGCAAAAAGAAGTAACCAAAATAAGAGCCTACAGGTCATATGGAGTTGAGGGAAACAGACAGGAGTCCAGGGAGCATTCATTTCCAGGGCAGAGTACCACAGAGGAAGGAGCTACAAAGAGGGAAAGAGAGCTTGAATTCTGGACATCCCAAGAGGAATATCCTCAAGTCTCTGGCTGAATAATGAGCAGGACCATGCACAGAGAAACAGGAAAAGAACGTTGAAAAGCAGTAGGTCAAAAAAACATCACGAACACACCCAAGGCTGGTAATAATTCATGTTTCCACCAGCCACAAAAGAACGACTTTGTCATTCATAACCAGGAGAAAATTAATCAATAGAAACAGGTACAGAAATGGCACAGGTGATGGAATTGCAAAGACAGTAACACAGCTATTATAAATATGCTACATATGTTCAAGAAGGTGAGAAGAAAGCAGAAACATGAGCACAGAAACAAAATACATAAAAAAGATCCAAATGTAATATATGGGGTGGGCAAAAGTAAGTTTACAGTGTTCATATGGAAAATATATAATACAAGAATAAATAATAATACAAAAATAAACTCGGTGTTTTATGTACTCACAACTGTAAACATACTTTTTGCCAACTCCTGTATATTACAGAAGAAAAAGATCAGCAAGCTTGACAACACAGCAACAGAAACTATGCAAAACAAAACAAGAGAAAAACAGAAAAAGAACAGAGCATCAGTGGCCTATAAGACAATATCAAGCAATCAAAAATAAATGTAGCCTGACTGATGTAGCTCAGTGGTTGAGCACCAAGAGGTCGCTGGTTCGATTCCCGGTCAGGGTACATGTGCAGGTTGTGAGCCTGATCCCCAGTGGGGGGCATGCAGGAGACGGTCAACTGATGTTCTCTCTCATTGATGTTTCCCTCTCTCTCTCTCCCCCTTTCCCTCCCTCTCTCTCTAAAATTAATAAAGAAAAGTAAATAAATGTAATTGAAGTCTCAGAAAACAGGAAGTGAAGAGAGGAAAACAATATTTGAAGAAATAATAGCCAAAATTTTTCCAGACCAGACGAAAATAAACCCACAATCCCAACAATCTCTGTAAACCTCAAGTAGAAGAAACAGAAAGTAAACTATTACAAGGTGTAACCTTATCAATTTGGTAAAAACATCAATAAAAAAATCTTAAACACAGAAAAGAAAGACATAACACACATAGGAACAAAGAATGAATTAACACTTTCCATCAGAAATTATGCAACCCAGATAATAAAAAAGTGACATCTTTCAAGCACTGAAATAAACAGATCTGACAACCTAAAATTCTATTCTGAGCACACACAAAAAAACCTTTCAAGAATAAAGGCAACATAAAGACTTTTTCAGACAAAGAAAAGTTGAAATAATTAACGTTAAGCAGATTTATACTATAAGAAATATAGAAGTTCAAGAAGAAAAATGATACCAGACGAAAATATGGCTAGATATTAAAAAAAACTAAGAGTGGCAATAATGGTAAAAATGCATGTATAAACATACACAAATCTGCCATTGTACATCTAAGCTATATCAAACTACTCAGAGCAAAACATCAACAACACACCACAGTGTTTGTGACATACAGACACAGAAACGATGTGTGACAACAGAAGCACAGAAGTCTGAAGGAAGAAGGCAGAGACCTAGACGATTGCTAAGTTTGTACAATGTATGTTCAGTAGTATAATTTTATTTGAATGTTGATAGGCCAACTGTGGAAATAATAAAACAAAATCATTAAAGATAACTCAATTCCAAGGAAGGCAGAAATAGAAGGAAAGATTAAATAAAAACAAATATCAAGATGGTAACTTTAAACCCGACTATATCAATAATTAAATTGTTGAAATATTCCAATTGAAAGATACTTTTTCAAATTGGATTAGCGCAACAAAAACAAATCAAACAAA